GTGCATGTATTTGAAGAAGAAGAACTGAAAAGATCTTGGCATTCTGGAATAAAAAGACAACAGTCTATGGGCAAAGAAAGCGTTAATAAACGCGCTGGGAAAATGCTCTTGTGCTGAATATTGAATTATTAAACAAAAAAGTTTTTTTCCTACGATATAAACCCTCTTCGCTGAAAACTACGCGCAAATAAATCAAAGACTATGCTGAGATTTATGAAAAATAAAATTTTCAATTAAGCTTTAGCCAAAACTAAAAGAGAATAAAATATAAACACAATAAAACAATTTGAATGGGTGACTTTTAAATTACTTATGATAACTTAGGAAATTATAAATAAATATACGTTCTATAGGTTCAGCGTTCAATTTTACTACAATTGTATGTACATATTGGATTAAAAATCGTTCAACAAAGATGTTACAAAAATTTCTTTATTATAATCTATTGTATAAAATAAATTTTATTGGAAGTTTTTAAAAATATCTATTCAAGACATTTTTGTAAAACGAACAATAAATTGATATTAAAATTTTGATCGGCGATAAATAGTTTATTTCTTAACGGGTAAAACCATATCTGCACCAGTTAATGATACTATTTTTTCCTACGAGAGCCTAAAATTAGCGGCAAAGTTGCGTATTTTAAGTTAGAGTGGGAAAAAAGATATTTTGGTCATTGATTGACTTATGAATTTTAAAGTGAACAAAAATTTAATGAAAAAAGCATTCTCCATTATTTTATGATATGATCTCGTTTAACTGCAAATCAGCAAGTACAAAAAAAATTGATACTAATTTTGTACAGCCGAAGCAGCAAGCCTTATTTTTGCGAAAGGTTTATAAAGAGTATAATAGTTTCAAATTACAGTAAATTTGAGTTTAAAACTAGGATACCTTACCTTCGGATAACGTAGGTATTACATACGTATTACATACTCTTTTTTAGCGAAGGAGAAAATTATCTCTCCAGCCAGGCATATCGTAGCGTCGTCAAGTTAAAACTAGAGAGAGAAAGAGATGGTAAGCCTATCTTCTTTCGTACGTATATATAGTCTCTTATCCTTGTCGTTCGCGTCGTACATTTGATCATACGACACTTTCTTTCGTCAGAGTTGCTTAAACGGGTGGATTAAAGCCGATAATTCAATTAAGGACTTGGTATCTCGAGCTCGATTACAAAGAAGTGGGTGTTCGAGCTGTCTAGCGTATAAAAGGGAGAGAGAAGAAAGCTCTTTGTCGTCATTTCCACAAGATACCTTTATTAAAAAGCAGCGGAAGGCACGAACTGTCGGTTAAAAAAAGATAAATTAACCATTACCGAGAAGGAGTAAATCTGCTGTTGTGACTTTATTCTTCATTTTTCACCTCATGTGAATCGAAAAAGAATCTGCCCTTACCCTGCGGTAGTTTGTTAAGATTTCACAATCAGATATAGAAGAACTTGCGTATAACACGAGCTACTAGATAGTCGCTTACTATGTTATGAAACTTTGCAGCAGCTGAAGACATTTGATACCTAGTCAACCAGCTACATCCCGACGCTTTAATTTTCCTTTGGAAATTATAAAATCAGTTAGTGCTTAGACGATCAATAATGAGTTAAATTTTGAGCTAAGCTCACAAAATGTCAATGAAAAACAAAATCAGAGCAATATTCTTATCGACACATTTTTGATACTAACTATTTTGATTGCTTACACATGACGATATAAATAAATTATGCATTAAAAATGTTGCCTATTATACGTTAAATATTCATCTTTATTTACGTTGATGCCAGTAACGAGGTATCACCTTCATCGGCAAAATCTTTCTTGACAAAAGTAACGTTGTGGCGACGTATTGAATATTCATTTATACAATCTTGATTCTCGTCCTCGCTACTGTACACTTCGACAAAAGCAATTTGTGACCAGAACTTTCGTTGTGTCAACCAAGTAACTTCAACTAAATCAATAGAGGTCTTTTGTGACTGAATATTAGCTGAGGCTTAATTTAACCGAGCTTAGTCGACCGAAAGATAAATTCTAGTCTATTACATTGACGAATCTCCATGATAACTATTGTATCGCTCTGATTTTATACTTATCCAAATACACCCTATCAATGTAGTACCAAACTTATTCCATCTTAAGATTGTTACAGTTTTATCCCAATCGCAAGTTACAATGAACGAGAAGAGTAAATGATGTTTGTTTTGATTCGTAGTCGTATAATTTAATAATTAACTCGTTCATACATTTCAATAAAGAAACGATAGCAGCTCTCGAATAAATTATTCTTCATCCTGATTGAACGTTTGAATGTTATGCTCACTTTTTGTTGTTGATCTCTATGTAAATAACTCTCGACAAGTGCTACAATTATCATTCTAAGAGCTGTGACTAGTTAAAGTGTCGCTCATCTATATTTACATGCTATTTCACGAACTCTGCACGCAACTTGTAGTCTGCAAAACACTTCTTTAAGCTCTACTGTATAACAACGAGTAGTAGATGTAGTTAATGTCGCGCAGAAAATACATCAGTTTTAGTGCATTGCATGCGGTTCTGACTAAGGTAAGGGGGGAAAAGGGGATGGGAGCAGAAAAGGTGCTACTTATTTTTAATGAAACTGTGCCAGTGGCAAAACTGTGTAGCTAGCTGCGCGCTACATGTCAAAATTATAAAAGAAGCCAGTAAGTACGAGTTTTGTACACACTTGACACAGCCAGTGCAAGGCTTGTACTAGTTGTGCAAAAAGTTACAAGCGAATAAATGGAAACCAAGCAGCCTTAAAAACTCACTTATCCTCGGCCGACGTATTAATTAGGCTGAGCACGAAGTGCAAAAGAGAGAGAGAGAGGCTGCAGTGCAGTAGGAGAACGAGAGGGTGCTCATTTTGCGCGATTACGAAGCACGAGTAACATTAGCCAAGCTCCGAGGCTATATATCTTGAATTCATAATTAGACCTGTAGTTGAAAAGCTCCCACGTATAATAGCAGATGTCGGAATATTCGAAATGTAGAAGAAGGAAACTTAGATATAATTGTACGCGTGACACCCCCGCTCAGCAGTAGCAACGACAACAGAAGCTCCGGCGGCGGCGGCAGAATCAGTGGTAATTGTTTACTCGTCTTCTGCTCCATGTCGAAGGTAAAGCTAACACTACGTCCATGCGTTGGTGCTTCCTCGATATTGGTGCGCTTCCGGCCCGACGCTTAGTATTGTGTACATGTTTTTGAGTTTGTCATCTTAATTTAGCACAGCTTGTGCTCGTCATTATCCGAAAAACATACGAGAGCACGCGCGAAGGGAGAAGGTGACAAGGCTACACTTGCTCCGAAGAATTCATTTTCCTTCCTTTCTTTATCTCATGTAAATACACGTATGTAGATACAGATGCGCCTTGGATAGTTGTACGCACCACCTCTTCTTAAAGCTTTTCACGTGTCACTTGCTGTACATACGTATACCCAGTGAGGAAGTGTGGAAAACTTCTCTGTCTTGCTCGCGTGTGCAGAGAAAGCAAAAGAGCGAGGACTTGCGCGTCTTGTCGAGTCAGAGGCTAAGGTATAAGCCGTTCTATACGCCAGAGGGATAGCAATGGAGAGATGCAGGATTCTGACGCGGGAACGTAACTTTCTGCTGATTAAGGTAAACTACTCACAGTTAGACTTGTCTATACATAGCCCCGACTTTATACGCAGCTGGTGGAAGGTAACTTTCAACCCGGCAAAATCCTATGGACGAAGTACACTCACGTGTCCTACCATATTGGATTCCGCATCGTCTCTCTCTCTCTCTCTCTCTCTCTCTCTTTCTCTGTATGTATAGCTGCACCGCTTTCCAAGTTTATACTACTCGCTCTTATAGCTGCCTGTATATCTGTACGTTTCTTATTTATAAGTGATCTCTGCACGCATCCACGAATCTCGTGGTACTTTTCTTATATGCGCGCGTAAGCCATGCATCGATGTGAACTGGCCTCATAATGTAACTTCTGCCAAGATCTGTCAGGTTTTATGCTTTTTGGATCTAGAAGCTGCTCAGAGAGCTCAGCTGCTAACACTATGTACGTATCGCTTCTTTTTTTTACTGGCTCGCCAAATTGAATCGGCTGAGTGCGAGCAGCGTTACACAGTTTTATAAATTCGAAATAAAAAGGCTTGGCGCGTTAAACATTTATTCGAAAAAATTTTCATCGTGAATGTCAATTTTCATCTTTGACTTCCAACTTTTATTCTATAAATAGTTCATCAACTACTTTTCGTGGGAGCAGTCAGAAGTTATACCGAACACGGACAAGTTGGAACGGGTACTTAATTCATCGATTTATTGTATCAATGTATAATAAACTTAAAGTTAATATTATTAACTCTTACATTTCTAAAACAATTAAAATTGTTCTTGATCATTCTATAAAACTAAAATAAGAACTTTTCAAGCTACATTGTAAATGTCTTGAATTACCAATAAAGTTCATACTTTCAGAAAATAATAGGGCATTCCTATATCGGTTGTTATCGTGATATGATTGTACTGCTCGTTAACAATGATACAATCATGTACATGCCATAATTTTCGCAAACATCCTTGGACAATAAAAAAACTTTGGAATGCTTTAGTTGGATTGCTTGTTTACTCCAATCAATTTCATCGGAACGATATTTTATGAATTCCGATACGCTGCAGGGTTGTGTTAAAGTCAAAAGAGACTAGCAGAATTAATAACTAGCAAACTTTTCCAAAAACGTTCCTTTTATTTTCTCTTCGTTTCCAAAGGAAATATTCTTAATATAATAACCAATTTACAGTACGGGTCTTTGTGGCGATACTTACCAATTTTTCTTCAACCAAATCGAACTTTCAAATTTTTATAATTTAAGTTACATGGGGATGAGCAATAAAAGAATATTAAAATTTTTGAAATACTCAGTTTATAATTAAGTACATTTAAAAAACCATGTTCAATTGTTACGAACCGTATTGTTAATGTTAAAAATTATTTCTTTTTATAGGTTACATGGGTAAGACGTAAAGACAGGCAATTGCTGACAGTTGGACAGAATACTCACTCAGTGGATAAAAGATTCATGGTGAAACATGTAAATTCGGAATGGTCACTGCTTATACAAAAAGTCACTCACGAGGATGCAGGTCTCTATGAATGTCAAGTAAGTTATTCGACAAAATCAGTACATATTTATTAGCATGCTGTGATTACGCGACAAAGAAAACCTCTATACTTAAGAGTAATACTTATTTTCCTGTATAACTCTTTTTTCATACATTTTCTTTTATTTTCTTAAGCTATGTAACTTGCGTATATAAGTGAGGAGTATTCTTGATTTAATCGTGTATCCGTAGCGCAAACTAATTAAATTATATCTACTTTGCCAATCTCTAATTGAACGTCCTGGTACTCGGCAATAGAAACGCAGCCGGTAGCATGTAGTAACTGCCTTATTATACAATTTGTATACGTATATACACGCTACGATGTAATGTCGTGACAGGTGGCATCTCATCCGGTTCAACAGTACTTTGTGAGGCTGCGCGTAACCGAGGCTTACTCGGTGATTCCTGGCGCCCCGGATCTTCACGTTAAGCAGGGCTCGAATCTGCGACTCGAGTGCCAGCTGATGCTGGCAACAGAGGCGCCCGTCTACGTGTTCTGGTACCGCAACTCGCGCATGATCAACTACGACTCGGAGCCCGGTGTCAACGTCGAGCTCACCACGGCTGGCTCGGTGCTCGAGGTCGAAAAGACCCAGCTCAGTCACGGCGGCAATTATACTTGCGCGCCCAGTAATGCCAAAGAAGCATACGTCATGGTTCACGTACTAGAAGGTTCGTATAACAATTACTTATGTGCACATATCACGTCTGCGTCATGATCGCGCATTCATATCCAAGGACCTATTTTCATTTTGAATTTTTCTATCGTCTGCCGATGAATTTCTGAGCTTCATAAAGAAACGTGCTTGCCGTTGCGAAATGTGAAAATACCTTCAATATTTTAATTATTGACGTTCGAAATTCTGATTTATGTATGCTTATACCAGACTCGCTTTGAAATCATACTGCGATCAGTTCTAGAGTCTATTTTTGCATTTTTATCGTGAAAGGCTCCGATTCCTCATCGTATATCTCTACGCTATGCATTTTTTTCCTTCTTTTACATAAATTCCCAACAGATAAGAAAGACATTTTATTACTATGGATTGGTCTATCGATTTGCTGACTACACTACAGCAGCGAAAAACTAGTTCAAATGAGAAACAAGAAATAAAAAAAAATTTATGTCTCTTTGATAACACTGACAATTTTTGGTTGTATGATTTTCGGCTCGACTTCTGTTAGCTTTTTTGATTGAGGAAAAACTTTGAAAAACCATCGGGAGCGTACATATTTTTCTAAAGTATCAATTATGAAAAATGACTTTATTCATATACAATAGTCGTGTACTTAGCTAATCAAAATGAGATGATTCTTATGCTATTTATTACAACTACAATGAGTTGATACTAGTATTGAAATATTATGAATGGATTGATTTTTAATATTTTACTCAAAAGCTTTCAATACTGTCTAACGCTTTACGATAAAACATTTCGAAAAAAATCCTACTGATTGAATTTTCTGTTCTCGATTTGCAGAAGAGGAAAAACCAGCTGCCATGCATGGTGGCGATCGACGCAATCTGAGCCCGGCAATTTTAGCAAGTAACTTTCTCGTGTCGCTTCTGGCCGCTGTCAGCTGGAGGATACCGAGTTTTTCAAGCCTCTACCCCACGTGAACAGTCCGAATTTTCGGCTTTGCAAGCGACACTAAAGCAGCAGGCTGATCTTCATCACCATTCTCCGTGAGAATATACAATATCATATGCTTACCTCTGTTTATCGTCTATACCAAACTGCCTAAAAACTCAAGATCTTCATTCCGATGCATAAAAGTGCAATTTATAATTGTGTATACAAGTGAGTTTGTGATAATCGAAATCGTGAAAATAACAGAAATTGCGAAGAAGAAAATTCAAATTAAGGACAAACTGAGGACACGCTTTTTTCCGAGTGCGTTTCAAGATATATTTGAAGCAAAATTTTGCCTGATTCGTTTGCGAAACGGCCAAATGCATACCATATGTTTTGCTAGCCCAAATATATGGACCTAAGCAAAGATATTCATGTATTAATGTGACAAATGATAATGTGGTAAATCTTAAGTAATAACTTAATGGGACTTATATGATTGTATAAGTATAAAATATGTTCACAAGTAATCGATGTATATATTCTAAATAATCAGTGACACTTTAATTTTTTAAAGTGGATTATAAAAATTCATTTTGTAAAATACTTACGTAAAATTTAGAAAGTAATTAGTTTTTTCACAAAGAAAGTTCACTAAGTAACTATCTTGAAAAATGTCGTGTCATATGTTCCTTTTTTAAGTATATTATGTGTATATTTTCATTTTCATTCAAACTTTTAAATTAAAAGTGAATTATATTTTGTAAATTGTACATATGTTGATATAAAAATCAGCGGATAAAATGAGAAAATTTTGAATAAGAGTTTATCTAAGAGTCTTAGCATAATTAAATAATTTAATCCCTCATTGCATAGGAAACTTGATCGAACGTAAAGTTCATGATAACAGTTCAATATTGTTTCGATATGAATATTTCAGAACTAAATTTCTTACAAATACATTGTAGGTACTAGTTAAATGCATCAAGTAAATTCAAATTATTTTTTCATTTTAGTATTAAATGGAGGCCTCAATAATGTATTACTCAATTCAATGTAATGTAAAAAAAAGTTTTCCTAACTAAATCAAAATATTTTTGAGAAAAAATACTGACTCGAATCGATTGATGACATTCATTTAAAGACACGCCTGCTTTAACACATTATGGTACTTAAGTTACTTATTATAAGGTATTTTTTTGGTTGTTGTCAAAATAAGAAAATAAAAAATATTGTTTAATTTTACCCAGAGTCATCTTTTTTTACAAATTATTTAGGTCTTATCATAACCATTAATTTTATTTTGACTATATTCAAATTTCACAGATAATATTTTTAATTATTGTAATGTACATGATATTGTAAATTGAAACTTAATTATAAAATTTATGAATCATAAGACAAAACGAACAAAAAATTTAAAAAATGTGTATATTTTATTATATGTGCCAAAATCGTCTCACGCAAATTGCAAACGATGCAAAGTTTTGGCTGTAGAAATCATTTTGGAGATAACACATATTAACTTCATGGACCTTTTGTTTGACATGTATTTTAAATTTTTTAATTTTTCAAACTGGGCAATAAGTATGTCGAAATAGAACTTTACGATACAAGTGCCATAAGTAACACTTTTTGACACGCGTAGTTTAGGGCCCGAGAGCAGTGAGGGTCCTAATAGCTGGGCCGAAAAGTTTCCCCATTGCACGAGTATCGTACATTATTTTATAGCACTGTGCTAAGTTGACATTTATGCCCACTTTTCCGAGTCATGAGTCATATAAGAGTCATGAGGTTAACGCACGAGCGTATGCGAGTGTGATGCGAACGCAGCGGTGCCAGAATGTGCGACTTATGCCACAGAAAAGCGTGCCATAAATGTGAACTTATGCCACACATTGCTATAAAGTTGATTTTACTCACTAGTTTGTGTTATACTAACTCAACGTTATTACAATATTATTCATTTTCATCGATTTCATGCAGTAACATGCACACATGTACAAAATTCATTCATTCCATCACGATCCGAGTTCAGAGAAGGTTCGAATAATGTTATAAATAAACAAATAAACAATAATGTAATAATTCTGAATAGATTCGGTTCGTTAAGGGAATATACACTGAAAGAAATTTGGGTGTGTTTAATTTCCACTCTAGTAGTATAGTGCCCCTGCCTTGTGTGGGGAGCATTAATCACTGAATTGGGGCTAATATAGCTCAATTTTGGGTAGGATTCGCTCCCAAACATCTGGAGCGCAATAGACCCCAATTCAAATTAAACTGTGAATAGGAAAGATATTATTAATGGGATAAAAATAATTATGAGTTTATACTTTTATTAAAATATTTACAAAAAGCTTATCATTATTATTATAAAACAAAGAAAAATTATTAATAACAAAGCCTTTCTAAAAAAAGCATAAACATTGTCATCTATAATAATTTTTAGACCAAGCGAACTTGATGCCATGGCACAAATATCGACGATTCTATCTTTTTCAGAATTTCGATCGATTAAATATGCATGGTAATGATCGTCAAAGATTTCACGTTATGTCTCGTAAAAAAACATGTAAAAACGCGACTTTTCGGCCCGCGCGGCTGTTGTTTCGGCGCGCAGTACCCCGCGCGGTGTCTAATCTCACGTTTTTACTCGTTCGTCGCTGTATTTCACTAAGTAATAATCAATACCACTCTTTGAAAACTTGCATATCGATAGGAAATTTCCTCAGCTTTCGATTGAGACTAGTTTGAAAAATCTTAAAAATGCCCTTTTTGAGATATTCGACTTTGAAGGTTTTACGGCAATTTTTTCGGGGAATTTGGAAAATTTTTGGAAATCCAACATCACCATCGGAAAGCTGAGGTAATTTCCCATCGAAATCATGTGGCTCATATTTTTTTTAGGTTCATTTAGATGCTTTTCTGACGAGTTACAAATTGAGCAGTTTGGCTTAATAAGGCCGATCGCGCACACCGTATTTGTTTATCTTTTTTGGGCGATTTTTGTTTATGTTTTGGGCGCGAAATCGCCCCAGTTGAGATTAAACCTATACCACCGTGTCGGACGATAGCACCACCAGACCGCGGCACATTTAGTTACCAAGCGGTAAGATAAGAGTCTCAAATTTCTTTCAGTGTAGAGAGCTTCAAATTTAAAAAAATTTATTCAATTTTTGGATAGGACTTTTTTCTTCTTCCTATTGCATTTTTAAAATTTCAAAATTTTGATTTTTTTGAACGTTAAATAGTTTCTGTTTTTCCAATTTCTAGCGTTTAATGTGTTAAAAATAGTATATTTCTCAATGGGTGCAGAGATGGTTTTTTTTAGCAAAAGAAGGGATTCTAACAAGTTTCGTTGAAAAACCATAACTCGCCAGTTGATGATACTATTTTTTCCCACGGAAGCCTATAATCAGCGATAAAGTTGCGAATTTTAGGTAAAAGTGTAAAAAAATGTCTTTGAATATCTTATTATACCCGAGAGAACTATTTCAGCAACAGTGGTTAGGTGGTGTACACTTCACTGAAACCTTAATGGTTATGGCTGCCACCTTGGGTGAGGTGGTCGAATGAATATGCCAGCTTCGAGGCATATATTTATAAATGAGATGAATAAAAAAACGTCAATCGGAAAAAAGTGTGTATAAGTTTTTGAGCAAGACGACCCATAAGCCGGATCTCTTAGTTCAAAATTACGACTGTAACCATTGATGTTTCGAACAAGTCTACACCACCTGGACGCCGAGCCTAATTAGTTCACTCTGAATATAACGACCGATAAAGGCATTTTTAAAAAATATGTAACTATGACGAAATGACAAAGAAGAAAGATAGTGAATTCATAAAGTATACAGAAAATGGTTACAACAACTGCTGCATCTTAGCGAAAAATCAAAATTTAAAAAAATCCAAATCTCTAGAGATTTGTGCGCGAGCAGTTCCCCTAGTAACCACTGAAAAAAATGCAATGAAAAGATGAAACAAAATGATTTCTAAAAATCGAATAAATTTAATTTACTCTATAAGCCATTAATGAGTTACGTTATGCTGAAATATTTGTGAATAATATCCTAAGCAATATCATCTTTTTTATCTTTATATTTCGAATGTATTAGGGTCAAAATAATACTTTTTTAAATTTTCGTCCGCACGTATGTAACCGATCTTGACGCGCTTTTGGTTTGTTGTAGTACATAATAAAAAAGTGCCAAAACCAACATTTTGGACCCCCTTCCCCCTCCTCTCTCGCTCCTCCCCTATAAACGTCCATTTTCTATCTATATTTTTTCTGAAGGCCTGAAGCAATTAAAAAATCTGAAAAAATTCACAAAAATACTTTCTAACAATCCATACAACCTTGAATTTTTTCAGCTTTTTTGAGTGCTTTCAGGCCTTCAGAAAAAATGATTGAAAATTTCAGCCGATGGTTTCGGTAAAAACATTTGAAAATATTTTTTTTTTCTAATTCCTCGTCAAATTTTAATAAATTTTGACCCTTTCAAGTTTTCAATTGAAGCCTTCTAGCTCAATCTAGAGCATCACAAAGATTAATGCAAAATTTTGAAGATATTTCTGAAGACATTAAGGAATGATAAAACTATTTCGATGTTCTAGATTGAGCTAGAAGGCTTCAATCGAAAACTTGAAACGGTCAACATTTATTAAAATTTGACAAGGAATTAAAAAATATTTTTAATTTTTTTTACCGAAACCATCGGGTTGTAGGAACCTTTTTTGTTAAAAATAGCATTTTTCGGCTCTAGATGGTATCACCTCCAATTGAAAAGTCTGAAAAAATTTGAGGTTATGTATTTTGTTAGAAATGAAAGAAACAAATTTTTTCAGATTTTTCAAGGCTTCGTATCGTCCTAAAAAAATTATTTTCGTAAAAAAAAAGGGTTTTTGGCTTCAAAAAGTGCGTTCACTTCTTTGACAAAATTTAAAAAAAATTTGAGGTTACTTTTTTTTAATGAAATAAAAAGTGAAAAAATTTTCGAAAAGGTTATTGCATCCTATCGCCGTATCTGGATTTTTAAAATTTTCAATATTTTTTTCTCAAGGCCTGAAGCACTCAAAAAATCTGAAAAATTCAAGGTTGGTTGGATTGTTGAAAAGCACCTTCATGAATTTTTTCAGACTTTTCAATTGCTTCAGGGTTTCAAAAAAAATATCGATAGAAAATGGACAGTTATAGGGGAGGAGCGGGAAAGGAGGAGGGAGGGGGTCCAAAATTTCGGTATTGGCACTTTTTTATCATATTCTATAACATCATGTACTATAACATAAGAGCGTCAAGATCGGTAACATACGTGCGGACGAAAATTTATAAAAGGATTATTTTGACCTATTAGTATACTTATTTTAGTCAATGGCTTGCAAAAATTTTTCTGATTGATTATTGATTCCTGGAGAAAAAATGTTGTTTATCAATTTTGTTTATTATAAATATGTTTAGTGAATTGAAATGATTTCTGAGAATTAATTTGTTGTAAATGATAATCGAAAGTTTTGTTATACTTCGGTATTATCATGAACATAGGAATAGCGTGATACATTTTCGTTTCGTGTAACATGAGATTTGTATATGTCAAATGGGTATTTGCCTGGTGCTATACGAAATACGTATTTAAAAAAAATATTACAAAGTATCACGATACCAATAATTTAATGAAAAATTATAACAAAAAGCATTCAATAAATGGTTCTAATATTACAATATGTCTGATTATTTCCAAACTTTTCAGTTTTTAATTATTTCTCTGCCAACAGGAAATTATCTTATAATTTTTCATCTTAGATCAAAAAACATTATTGAATTCATTGTAATGAATACTGAAAAAGGAAATGAAATAAAAAAAAAACGTTTGAAATATGAATCAAGAATTATATACTTTACAGAAACTTTTAAGGAGAAATATTTGAATCTTCGAGTTTGTACAAGGACATAAACAGTCTAGGCTATTCATGCAAATTAAAAAGCTTTCTATCCATTCATCAGGCAAGACTTTCATCCTAACGATTGATACCAAAGAATCAAAGAAATAGCACGTCACGCTCATATTTCAGATTACTATAACTTACTACTAGCGCTACTTATTTTTCTTTCATTTTGCGGAGAATGGTTCAAAGCACAGTGAATAAGACGTATTTCAAAGCA